AATTAAAGTGATTTTGTCTCTCAGCATCTTGTTTTTATGTATTTTACAGATAATGTTCACCGCTTTCGCCAATTTTTTAAACCTTATTACACAGAAATATCAGAAAATTAATGCATACAACTGAAATAGCAAGAAAATTAGAGTTGGAAAACGTACCATAGCAGTTCTGTCGATAGTTCATTACCATCGATTGCAGAGTTGGGTAGTTCACGAACTAGTTCGTGCATTGAACTAGTTCATCAAAAGGAATGAAAGACCTAGTACGAAAGTTAAAATGAACTAAAAACAAACTTTTTTTCCAGCCATGCTTCTCACCCAAATTTGGCAGCATTGTGCATTCTTAAGCTGCCTTTACATGAGGTGATTTTTTGACAGGTAATAATCGCATGCAAAAGTTGACTTGCTCTCTACATAGAGGCATATTATGCCTTTTAAATTAGTTTTTATTCAATAATTCTGAAAGATATTTTAATTCTATATCTTTTCATGTCTCAACTATAGCAAAAAGTTGAGTAATAACGAAGATATTGGCCAAAATAAAAAACTCACGCTCACGCTCGCATTGAACTGTATATCAAGCTTTACAAGTGACAAATGTTCGTCTTCTGCCTGGAAGCCGCCTGGAAGCTAAATGGAAAGTAACTGTCAAAATGTTAGACAGGGTGTTTAAAGTGATGTAAAAAACGCAAAAGTTATTAAAATAAAGTAAAAAATTTGCAAATATGAATTGAAATAAATGAATTTCTGCATTTATATGACTAATGTGGATCTGTATTTCTTTTAGTAATCTATGTACATATGTATGTACTACATATGAATGCATAATATGCGAAAAATTTTCGTCATATCAGATCTGTACCGTTTGTTCGCTTGGCCTGTGGATGTGCAATAAATACTTTCATTTTCAAAAAGAGTTGCCACCTGATAAAAAATGATTTTCAAATTATTTTTATGTTAAATCAATTACTACAGCATGAGTACCGATCGAAATGGTTTTATTTCTTAATTGTGTGCAAGATTGTTGCCACCCGTTTCAAAAAACAAGTTTGGCTTAAATAAAGGCAGGAAATTGAAATGTATATAAAGCTATGGATGTCAGACGAAAGAGGTTGTGGTTTGAAAATATTTTGCAGAGGGTTGCCACCTTGTTACAAAGTTAGA